TTGAGCCCAGGAGTTTGAGGTTGCTGTGAGCTAGGCTGACACCACGGCACTCTAGCCCGGGCAACACAGTGAGACTCTGTCTCAAAAAAAAAAAAAAAATCACCCAAGGTGCTTGTTAAAATGCAGGTTCATGCCTCCCTTCTGGGGTGGGGCCTGGCAATCTACATTTCTAAACAAACCCCTCTGGTGCTTCTCATGTGGTTGGACCTCACCTTGAAAAACACTGAGGTAGAATTTCTTGGGTTTCTTGGGTTAACATAATTCAAGTTAGTCAATGAACTAGAAATTCATGTGTCTTTTCATTCCTCTTTATCACATGATTTCCCCCTAATAATAGGTTTCATACAGCATATGTATAAAGTATATTAATAGTAATATCTTCTAAATGGAGCATTTGATTAGTTTTAATCTCAGTCCGCATGCTGTATAGCCGTGCAGTTGCTGATGAAGAGAGATCATTTGCTCTGAATTCTTGGTTCAGCCAAAGCATTCTTCTCCAAGGTTAGAGCAGTGGTTCTTAAGGGTTGGTCTCCAGGCTGGCATCATCATCCTTATCATCTGGGAACTTGTAAAAAATGCAAATTCTTGAGTCCCATCCCAAGCTTAGTAAATTAGAAACTGTGGGCATGGAACACCTAATCAGTGTTTTAACAACCTGTCAGGTGATTCAGATGTGTGCTAAATTTGAGAATCACTGGGTCAGAGGATCAAATGTATGGGAAGTCTGAGAATCAGATAGCTTTTCATGTCTGTCTTTCTCTGGTTCTCTTGAGGCTAAAATGTTATAAACCTGTTGGCAGCTTTCCTGCCATTTAGGAACTGTTAAGTTGAAACAACTGAGTTGTGACAGCATTAACGTGAAGATCTAAATGTTCTTAGAGCTCAGATTTTGGCATTAAGATGGTTTTAGGATATTTTAGGATCTACATCCTATCAGTGGAATGTTGTCAACATTCTAATAATTAGTGGTGACTATAAAAACAAAGTATTGATGGCTCATGAATACTAAACTTTCATCAGTCCCCAGACACCTTTAAAGATAAGTTTTTTGACAACAGAAGTCTGTGTTGAAATCTGAAACCTCCATTGTTTATTTTGATCAAAGTACCTATCCAGGTAGCAAGCATGTTTCTGTGATGAAGGAATTGACTTTTATAAAGAAAACTTTTGTTTTTTCAAACCTCTTTTCTCTTAGGCGTTTTGGAATAATGGGACTCTACAAAGGCCTTGAAGCCAAACTGCTGCAGACAGTACTCACTGCTGCTCTCATGTTCCTTGTTTATGAGAAACTGACAGCTGCTACCTTCACAGTTATGGGGCTGAAGAGTGCAGGCAAGCACTGACACGCCTCCCAGTGGGAAGTATGGAAGATGCTGGAGATGGGGAGTTCCCTTCTGAGTGAAGAGAAGCGATTTTCCTTTTACTCTGACTTCCTCCACCACAAATTTTACCCTCACTGGCTTGAAAGGCATCTAAGGGTAAACAGGGAGTATAGCCAGCTGAGACTGTTGCCACTTTAGTTTTTATAATGGCCGGTTGGATTTTAGGGTGGTGGTTGGACTAATATAAAAAGAAAACATTATTGAAAACCTAAAAATGAAAGTTTGTGGAGGTTTATTGGTTTTCTTAAGGGGAATGGACTATTTTGCTCTCGTGTATAATCTGTTTCAATATTTCTTAAATATACCACCTGTTCTCTTTCCCTGAACTCTTCCCTAGGTTTTAGGACAAACTTAATAACATGCAGTTCTCCTCAGATATTTTTGTATGTCTTAATCTTGGTATTTTCCTCACTAAAAATAATATTATGACTGTGCCATGGGTATGACTTTATTTTCTTTGGGCTTTTTTTTCTCCTGCTTAAGGACAGGTGTCTTTTTTAGTACATGAGCTGTTTATTTTGTGGGGAAATGAAAATTATTAATCTCAAATGATTCTCTTATAAACTATTTATAAATGTCACTTATTCATTAGTGTTTGACATTATTTTTAAAATATTTGTTTTGAATCAACTCTTTGGTTACAAAAGGCTTGAGGTTTTATGTCCATCCATATGGGCCCCAATCAGTCAAGCCCCAATAAATTGTCAGCACAGAAGACATTCTTGAAAAGTTGCCCTCTATTAAGGTACTACATTGGGTTTGCAACCAGATGGTAAAAATCATGAAACTCCGGGATATTATCTCCCTTTATAACCTCTTGGCATAGGATGTATATTTTGAGAATAAACATCTGATTGAGGTTATTTCATTTGGAAACCTTCCTTAGAGTCCTGCTGAAAGTGTGGTCCATCAGACATTAGCATTGCCATCAGCTGAGAGCTTGCTTGCATGCAGCCCAAACCTTATGATTCATACTCTACAGTTTAACCAGATCCTCAGGTGATTCATATCCACACTAAAGTTCAGGCCCCTGAGCCAACAGAAGAAGTGATTGGTTTTGATCGTAGAAACCAAGGTAAAGATAGTTCTCAAAGGAATGATAGACTAATGTATTAAAAAGACCTCTGAAAACATACAGGAGTCCTACCTATCTCGTCATTTGCTTTCACCTCATAGCATATTGTTAAGGTAGTAGGACTTTTATCATGTAGCTAGGAGTAGATTTAGACATCTCAAAAAAAAAAAGCCCATGAGTCAGTCAGAGGAAATAATAATGAAATATTTCATTATTTAGGATTTAGTTCAGTTTTCAGAGTGGAAATTTCTTTCTCTTATTCCCCTCTTTAGCCCCCATGGTAATTTCAAAATATATGGTTATTAAACTAGTAGTAATTGAAAGATCATTGTGTTGCTCTAGAAAATAAAAATTAAGCTGGGCACGGTGGCTCACACCTGTAATCCTAGAGACTCTGGAGGCTGAGGCAAGAGGATCACCTGAGCCCAGGAGTTTGAGGCTGTAGGTAGCTATGATTGTGCCACTGCACTCCAGCCTGGGTGACAGAGTGAGACCCCATCACAAAATATGTGTATATATAAATTAGCAAGAGTGAATAATCTGGAAACAAAACTGAGCATTCATCCCTATTTAAACCAGAGAATTGAAGACAAAATTGTCTTTACTGCTTTTTATTTTACTTTGTGTGTGTCTGTGGTGGACCTTGGGTGGGAAGCACAAAACTATTATCTTTCTGTACAGGAGAAGAATGATCATAAAAGTGTATGTGTGTTTTGTTACTGTTTTTATTATGCTGTTCGCTTTGAAATTTGAATTTTGAGCTCATTGTGGGTTGCTAGAATAATTTCCAACTCATATAGCTACATTGGTGTTTATGATGTGAGAATGTATTTGATGCTTCTTCTTTTTTCTGATTTTAGGAGGAAACAATCTAACATTGAGGTTTTGTGGTCCTTTATTCTTTTCATTTTTTAATTTTCTTTCAGTGTCTTGATGTAATGACTTTTTTCTTTTTTATTTCTTTTTTCTTTGTTTTAATTTTCTTTCAGGAGGTTTTATGTTCCTTAGGTAGTTTATAGACTCACTAGTTGAAAGTATAATAGGTAGTAACTCACCTAGTTTGGTAACCTTTGGTTAATAATAAATCGTTTGAGAAAACTAAGGAGCTGAAGTCCATACTAAAGAAATAGAAAATTTTTCTTTTTGATTCTTTGTGCAATTTCTCTAGAATATGCAGATTAAGAACTTTAGAAATTACACTAGGGTCACTGCAGTTGAAAATTTAATTTCTGTAAATATTTAATCTGTTTTGAAGCAGATACTGTAATATTTCTACCCTTGTCTATTATACAGTTCAGTATAAAATGCAGAAATAGGATTTATCATAAGAACATATTCAGTGGGAGTTAGAAATCTTGGGTTTTATTCCCAGCTCTGCCACCAACTAGCAAATTATGTCATCACCTTGTGCTTCAGCTCTTTGATAAGTGGAGGTAATAATACTCACTGCCCACTTCAGAGGATGTTGGAGAGCTAATGATGTCAGCTAAATCCCTTTATGACCAGGGAATAGGGAAGAGCTGAGTGAAACTTAAGACAGTGCATAGATTTATATAGCAATTTCCCTTCTCAAAGCTTATACACTTTCTCATTTTATAATTCTGGTATCTGTGTGAAATAGGTAGGGACAAGTAGCAACATCCCATTTAATTAACTAGGAAATTGTGACAGAACTATCAGATGACTTGCCTCTTTGGAGCCAGGCTAGAGTCGAGTTTCCTGCAGTCTAGTGTAATGATTAAGAGAATGGGTTCTGGAATTAGGCAAATCTAGGTTCAACCTCTGGCACTACTCTTTCCCATCTGTGGGAACAAAGCAATTACTGAACTTTTATGAGATATTTTATGAAACTCAACTGTCCTCAACTGTGAAATAGAGGTCTTGGTAAATCTACCTCATAGGGTGCTTGTGAGGATTAAATGAGATCATATACATAAATTGCTAAGCACAGTGCTTGCCATATGAGAAGAGCAAGATAAATGTTAACAATAACTGTTGTTATTATCATCATCATTATTATTATTATTATTATTGATTGAGGGTATGGCTGTTTGAATAGATGTAACTGTGGTCTAGTGGAAGGCACTCTGGATTTTGAGCCAGACTTGGTTCCAGTGTTCATTCTAGCACTTAATAGCATTGTGGCCACAGACAAATCACTTAACCTTTCTGAGATTGTCTTCATCTGTTAAATAGAAATGATTACCTCTCAAGGCTGTTCTGAGGATTAAATAGGAGATACAGATATGTGAAAGCATCTGGCATAGTATATGGCATATGTAGGT